AGGGATAGGAAGTATTTTACTGATGAGGTGTGGGAAAGACATTGAGGCATTGGTGTAAAGGGGTATAGAGTGTTCGGTGTTCAGAGTATTGGCCATTGAATTCACGGTGGTCGTAGAGCAGGAGGCCGATCAGATAGGACTACGTTACTCAGCGCGTTGCGGTTGAAGCGTATAGTTAAGGTGAGAAGACAAATAGGGAGGGGCAGCAGAAATGGACAGGAATAAACTGCATAAGTGTAAGCGATTCCAGCAGACTGTCAAGGTGTAGTAAACTTAACTTTGACTGCAGATCCCAGACCATTTGCAACTCCGTAGTCATGGATGCAGTCAGACTGGTCAAATGAGACTAGGTCATGCAGAGCACTGAGTTTGCCATCCGATTGCAAGAGAAATAAAAGGAAAGAGCGTGATAAGGAGCGGACCATTTCGGGATGAAGGGAGCTTTATTGGTGCTGGTTGAAGAATTTGTATGTCTATATGTGATCATGGCCGTTCTCCCAGAGCTGGTCCTCGCGGTTGTTAAATATAGACGACGAAGTGACCATAGAAAGAGAGAAGCCGGAGGGTTGTGGATACCAATTGGTTCATTCAGCCTTTGGATCAACGTGTCAGTGAGAGGGTCGAAGCACGTCAGGAACTACTCAGTAATGGCTAAGTACCTCGCATTCAGAATTCCAATGTTAGCACCTGCACGATGCGTGCGCCTGATCCGACTGAGACCTTCTGCGTCTTGTGTGTGCGGTAATGGATAAGTTAAAGGTACAACGGTCACGGATGGGGACCATTCATGAGGGTTATCCCTCATTATCCCTTACCGGATGATTTTGTGCTGGCTTCTACTCTTTCCATAGTGCCGTCCTAAGGTGGATTTGTCCGTAGGAGAACTCAAGTAGGTTAGGAAGAGATTGTTGAAGAATAAAATCATCTTGTACTCGGTTTGCTATTCTTAAACCCTCAAAAATGGTGCGAAGGATACCGCTAAAGTCTCTTAGGTGCCAGAACGGTAACGACAATGAACGTGGATGAGTTGTGAGCTTAAGGTGCTTAGATGTCACGCACTACATCGTGGGCGTCCTCAAGCGACATCAGGGCCAGTTTCGAAGAAGTGGTCTTGCGAATCGCAGATATGGAAGATGCTTTGTATATTGCCAAAACATAGGAATCTTTGTATCTCCTTCCTGAATACCTGCAAGTTTTGGATTTCTCTTATGCTGGAAGGCAGTCTGTTTCATATGTTCAGGTACACAAGTAAGAAGAAACGAGATCGCATTCTCTTCTTTGCCTTTAGCGAAGAAATGGAATATCCCATGTTTCGGAGTTTTGATTCAGATGCCCTCCTTAATTTAAGACCAGTGATATTACTGTGCATCTTTCTAGGAATTAGCTTATGTAAGAAGCACATGTTAAGGATAATTTGCCTTTGCCATAGGGGCTGAATTTTAAGGTGTTCACACCTTTGTCGGTAATTCAGCGCTTGCTGCGGTGGAGTCAACATCTTCGTAAAGCGTCGCTGAGCTTTCTCAAGCAGAACACTGTTCGACTTACGTAGATTGCTGCATATAAAAGAGTAATATTCTAGATGTGGCCCGACGTGTCTCTTATAAAGTTCTAGCCTTGCATCGGCGGTTTCTATGCAACGGCGTATGTGGAACGATAATCCTTTTACCCTTGCGACTTGATAATGCACTTGCTCTGCAAAGTTGAGGCTCATAGAGTAGCGCAAGCCCAGATCTGTTGTTATGATATTCTGTTTGATAGTGATGCCGTTTATTGTTCGGGACCCAGCAGGTATAGAGAATCTGTGGGTCATGACGTTAGATTTTTGAGCGGAGATGGTCATTTGCCAGTGTTCGCACCACTTTTCGAGTGCTTTGAGATCCTCAGCGATACTATTAATTGCGGAAAATTTACTACCACGTGGAAAGTCGTAGACAACTTTCACATCGTCAGCAAAGATAAAGGAGCGAACGTGTTGCAACATCTTGCAGAGGTCATTGATATAAATCAAAAATAGGGTAAGGCCAAGGACACTCCCCTGCACCACGCCACTGGGGACGGCGGTCGGGGTGGCTATAGTTTGTTCAACCTTAACAGACTGCGTACGTCCTATTAAATAGGAACCCAGCCAGTCTAATAGAGGACCGTCTACCCCATAAGCCTTTAGCTTATGCATCAGGTGCATGTGTGGTACCCTGTCAAACGCCTTTTGTATAGCAAGGTAAAGAATGACAACTGAAAGATTAGAGTCAATGGTCTCGGTGACCAAATTAAGGAAGTCCAACTGACAGGTTGCACAAGACCGAGCACTTAGAAACTCGTGCTGAGATTCAGTTATGTGCTAGACTGCATAAAGATGAGACATGAGGGGATTTTAATCAACTTCTCCATCACGCGTGAGATAATAGAAGTGTGGTTAATAAGGCGATAGTTACCAACTTCCTGTAGGCTTCCGCTCTTATGCCTTGGCATAATGATAACATGTTTCCAGGCGGTTGGGCATTGACCTTTTGCATTGATAACGTAAAGAGTTTCAAAAGAAGAATAGGGATATCTTCACCACCATTATTTAGTAGACTGGGCGGTATTCCGTCTGGGCCAGGTTTCCAGAATGACTTGGTAGTTGAAATCGCAGAACGGACACTATTTATATCAACTGTACAGAGCACACGGATTGGCTAACAGGTACTTGCAGGGCCTGAAAGGTTGAACCTGTTTCTAAACACTGCGATTCTTTAAAACGTGAGCTGAAGACTTAACATAAAATTCTTGTGCCACTAGAAGTTTCGTTGGGACTGATCTTTAGGGTAGAGATCTGTCGTCCATAGTTAGGGGTCCGAGAGCGCAGCAGCCAGCTGAGATTCTTATCTTTGTTTGCACTATTAAGTGCGGATATTTCTTGGTTAGTTTGCTGCTGCTTAGCTCTGGCAGAAAAACTAATGTGCAATCTCGTTCGCTCTCATGATGTGGGCAAAATTGTAGGTTTTGTTATAGAATCGTCTAGGCTGACGCATTCTGCTTTGCATTTTGGTTTGGGTCACACTTTTAGATGGGTGCCTTATTAAATGTGACAAGGGAGCTAGAGAGTCGAGACAGTGAAGTATTTCCACATAAAACAACTCAGCCGAGCGATCTACAGAATCAGACATAAAGAATTAATCCCAAATTTCTTGATCGGACGAGTACAGCAAAGGTTGTCTAGTTGAAGCTTTGCATCGGGCGGCATACTACGACCGCGTCCTTTTTCGTTCAGTGGGCATTAGGTTGCTTTAAGTAAACCGAGCAAGCACTACTCTGTGCTTACTACCCGGAAACTCCCGGCCGACTGCCACTCGCGTTGATAGGATGCCTAGAGTAAATATTAGGTCAAGAATATGTTCAGCCCTGATTGGAGCAGATTTATGTTGCGTCCAGCCGCCTAAATTTACACATGCTAGTAGGCCAGCATACTTTGCTGTTGCAGCAGGTGAGAGCCAGTTTAACTCGGGCAGGTTTAAGTCTCCAGCAACCAGTTTGTATTCGCAGGAAAAAGTTGACGCTAGCGCAATAATATCCATAAGTGCGTGGTCACCCTTAACTGAGGTATCAGGTGGTCTATAAGTACACCCAAATAATACCGTCGATCCCAGGATACCAGCCGTTATCCATACTGAATCCATCGCCTCAGCCGCGTTCATGATTTCGGATATTTTTGCTGGGCAAGTATTTTTAACATAAATGGCGCACCCGCCCTTTGTTTATGCACACGAGACTGCATAACCAGCTAATAGGCAGGAAGTGAGTAGTCCTCCTCTGCAGCATAAGGGGAAAACCATGTTTCCGTGACAAATAATGCGTCAGGGTTGGCGAGGACTGACTGAGGACGCAAGGCATGCATTTTAATGTTTAAGGAGCTAGCCTTTATAAGAAAAAGTAAGAAAGAACATCTGGGGTCTACTAGCTTTACGGATGACGAGATGAAGCCGTCGATGGTTACTTCGCTATCTGCAGCAGTTGTAGTAAGTGAGTGCGAAGACATTGAAGTTGGTAGTTGGGCGACGAGGAGTTTGGTGCCCGGATGATTCTGTTGCGGCTCATCCCCACCTGGAGTAAAAGATGCGCATGTTGCGGGGTAGGAAGCAATGGACAATTTGGCCATTTTATCTGGACCGACGGCGAAACTCTGGGGGATGTAGCAGGTACACAACAGCCTGGATGCGCATGAAGTTGCTCGGACCTGTTTAGATTACCAAATGTAGCACTCGCCGTAAATGAATTGGTTGCGATGGTGGTACGCGGTGCCGTCTCACACGTGTCTGGGGTATGATTCGGTAGTGTCCCTCTTGTGGGCCGAAATAAAGTTGCCTTGAAACGTTCCTCGGTCTCGGCAACGACGATGGACTCCGGAAGGCGGTTCCAGTCATTCACAACGCGAGTTGATAAAGTCAGGCTGGATTGCACTCGATCACTCCTCGGTTTGAACAGTTTCAAACTGTGGCCTCTTATATATAAATAAATAAATAAATAAATACTTTATTCTCGACTATGCGAGGCACGCCCATGGAGGCATGATCAGATATGTACAACTGTACAAATATTTTATGGCAACCGTGACAGCAATAGTAGAAAATTGGTGGTATGTTCGTGGTAAAATAAATAAATAGATAGTTTATTCTCAGCTTCATAGAGACGCACCAACTTAAGCATGATCAAGGTTTAAAACTGTTGTGTATCACGACGATACTCCGGGTTCAATCGTGTATAGTTGAAACGGTGTCAAGAGGAGTTGATATGTGAATCTAGTCGACTTGCCAGTATGTAGTTGCGGGCTGTGACTTTATTCAGTGGCGAGTCACATCCGCCACGTCGCAGTGTTGTTAAACAGACATATGTGGCTTTTTATAGGGAGAACGCTTGCCAGGCGAAAACCCACCACGTCCTGCAACACTGCCGTAAAGCATTTTGAACATTAATGTTGAACTGGCAAAGCCGCTTGACGACTGGTTTCACATTCGGTTTTTCGCGGGGTAATGGCTTCTAATTTCCTCTGTTAGTTGGACGGGTATTTTGCTCTGGGTCGCCATGATTTTTTGGGGTCGCTGGAGGAGAGGGACATCGCGATTTTTCTTCTTGTTGTATGTCCAGGTGAGCAAAAGTTTCAATTTTTCCGCTGTTCAGATTTTTCAGATGTATAATGTATGGGAGTATGAGGATGTGTCCAGTTCTCCATACTGGACAAGGGTTATGATGATTGTAGGTTGGTCCTTGCGGAGTTTTACTATCCTCCATGTCAGTCCTTGTGGGTTGTTCCGTCCGTCTTGGGCAAAATTGTTCCTCAGTCCAATCCCAGATCTCCAAGATGTCCCGGACCTCAGAGAAAAGGGAAAGTGGGAGACAACCGAGAGAAGACCGCAAGAACAGGCATGGAATTGAATATTGTTAGTGTCTTGTGTTATAACATTTGGGCTGGAGACAAAAGCATGTACACTGTGCAACAATAATTATGCTGAAAATGTCTTTTGAGTATCCTATAGAATCATTAGCCGTATAGGTGGATTGCTATCGCCTGCGTAGGGACAAGAGCGTTGCACCAGTAAGTAAGGTACGAGTATCCATTTGATATGAGTCGATAGTTGCGTGGGGATAGAGCAAAGAGAGTTAGAATGTTGGTAGTTATTGTCAGGTGCATGAACAGCACGTAGTTAGTGTAATCCGAGAGAGGGGCATAATAAGCGAAAATAAATAGGTTGCTGCGAGAGAGTCTTAAAGCTCAATTGGTGGCAGGGCAGCGGAGGGACTGGATGCAGATATTCTAGAGGAGTAGAGGTTAATCAGATACGGGGTGGCTCCTAACAAGCACTGGATCATCGCATATGCATGGGGCCGATGGCCATTAGCTACTTCTGAAGAGAAATGCCGAATTTATGACGACCGACAGATGTTGGCGCTAGGAATGACTCAGTCGCCAGATGCAGCTATTCCAATCGGACGCTTTGTCACTAGTGTATGCCTATAGGGTCGATGAGTGTATCTATGGGCCAGTGAAGGTAAGTGATAGGTCAACAGATCAGCTAAGCTGTGACGCAAACAATCCAAGAGAATGAACATTGTAAGAGTGAGCGAGCTCCGGATATCCGCAGAGTTAAGTGGAAGCTATGGCGACTAGCTGCTGGTAAGCAGAGATAGTGTCTCTAGGAAAGAATGAATCAGTGGCTGCTGTAGCCATAGTATTAAGGCGTTTGTCTACTAATGGATACCTACAGCTTTGTTGAGGAGGTCAACAGGCAAGCGAGGTTTAAGAGTGACATACGGCAGAAGAGAATGAAGGCTGGAGAGTCAAGAAGTGGCTCCTTGTAGGCTACATGGAGCCAACAATGTCTAGCTATTGTCAAGAAAAGTTGAGGCGAGTAAGATGGACGACGGATAATGGCGCGCTAGGAGAGAGAAGAGTGACCAGCAATAGAGTTTGGGCTAAGCCTTCAGTAACTAGTGGATCGTACGGTGGCACATAATAGGTCGGCAAACCATCTGAGCTGTAAAGTAAACATTCCAAGTGAGTTAATATTGTATTAAGGGAGCGACTCCCACAGAGCTCCGGATATCAGCAGAGTTAAATGGAGGCTATGGCGACTAACTGATGCTAAGCAGAGATATTGGCTTTGGAAAAGAGTGAACCAGTGGCTGGTGTAGCCATAGTATTAAGACGTTTGTCCACTATTGGATACCTACAGCTTCGGTGAAGAAATCAACATGCGAGGGAAACTTAAGAGAGACAGACGGCACAAGAAAATGAGGGTTGGAGAGTCAGGGAGTGGCTACTTGTAAGCTACATGGAGCCAACAATGGTTAGCAATTGCCAAGAAGAGTTGACCAGAGTTGGGTAACGACGCGCTAGTAGAGAGGTGAATAGCCAGCATTGTAGTTCGGATTAAGCCTTTGGTTTCTAGTGGGTCCTGCGGTGGCATATAATAGGTCAACAAAACATCTGAGCTGTGCCGCAAGCAATCCAGATTATGAACATTGTACGAATGGAGCTACACCTACAGATCTCCTGATATCCGCAGAGTTGAATGGAAGCTATGGCGACTAGCTGTGGTTAAGCGGAGATACTGGCTCTAGAAAAGAATGAATCAGGTGGCTGGTGCAGCCATAGTATTAAGACGTTTGTCCACTATTTGATACCTACAGTTTCGATGAAGAAGTCAACAGACGAGCGAGGTTTAAGAGAGACATACGGCAGTAGAAAATGAAGGTTGGAGAGTCAAGAAGTGGCTATTTGTAGGCTACATGAAGCCAATACAATTCAATACAACGATGTCTACCTATTTTCAAGAAACGTTGAGGCGAGTAACATGAACGATGGATAATGGCGCGCTAGGAGAGAGGTGAATCGCAAGCATTGGAGCATTGTTGAACTCTCTGTGTTGAGATGAAAGAATCCTGTAATTCCATCCCCAACTCTCCTCTAAGAATATGTCGGGTGAAAATCAAATTTCCGCGGTGACGACGGTAATCTAGAGAAAAGAGGTTCAGTAGTTGAGTCGGAGAGCATATGGCAGGTCCTGCAGCTCAGGAACAGGTTTGGATCTGCGCCGTTGAACCTTTTCAATCATATCACATTCAAAATTTGTAAGAAGGTAAGTGGCAGGTAGCCCGTATTCCAGAAGCCGGCGTACATGTGAAGTAAACAGGAGTCGGAAGATCCCCGGGGTCAGGCGAGAGGCTCTGCGTATAGAGTGAACCATCCTGTAGGCCGCAGCGACCTTTTTCTTGGTATCTACATTGGATTTGAGGTCAGACGAAAGTATCACTCCCGAATCCCTCTCCTGAGTGGAGTTTCTGAGCAAACAAACCACCAATATGGTAGATTCCAAATGGGACAGACGCACCAACTGGGAGAACCGAACACTTCTCATGATTCATTGGCAACTGCCACTTAATAGACCAATCATGTAGCAGGTCGAGTGTCGATTGCATCCTGTCAGCATCTTCCACACTGGATACCTCTATCCACAGCTTTAGGTCGTCGGCGTAGATTAGGCGATCCTCCTGGAGTGTGGACGGTGAGTGATAGATGAAGACGTTGAAAAGCACGGGCTGAGGACCGAACCTTGTGGGACCACACTAGTCATCAGAATAGGGACGGAAAATGCATCGTCCACTGGCACCTGCATCGTGCGGTCGCGAAGGAAATCAAAGATCCAGAAGAGAAGAAATAAATAAATATTTCATTCTCGACTATGCGTGGCACGCCCATGGAGGCATGATCAGAAATGTACAAATGTGCGGACATTGTATGACAACTATAACAGTGACAGTAGAAAATTGTTCATATGTCCATGGTTGGAACTGTACTATGGTGAAAATGCGAAATAATAATTTGGTTGTCTTTAAACCGGGACCTCAGCTAATAATAGATTGAGATTCCTGAATGATCCATTGGAAGATAATTTAGTAGCACACACAAGAGAGATATGACAATACAGTGAGTTCGTGCGCACGTAACGCAAAGGTCAACGGTGATATCGTAGAAAGCAAAAAGACGACAGTATATGCAGATGTAGAAGTTCCAGTGTAACAAACCTACCTAGAATGATGACGCTTGTTGACTTGCCAGTGTTAAGTTATGGGCTGTGACTTTATTCGGTGGCGAGTCACATTTGTAGTACGCAAGCACGGAAGAACTCCAAGGGCTTAGAACGAAGTTCTATTACACAACACGTAGCCTCTACAAAAGGTAATAAACATGAGGTAAATTGGAACAAGGGAAGTTACAGTTAACCAATGTCGTGTTCTTGTTCTCCTCCGGTAATGGAGCAGGAAAGGCGCTCTGAAAGGCAAACGGGAGAGAGTGCCGTTATAGCAACGATTCAACTTTGAACGCGCGCCAAAACAATATCGATTCTTCTCTACACCACACCCCCTCTAAGCAGGCAGCGTCCCCGTTGCCACCCCATAGCCGCCCTGAGCCGGCACCTCCAGTTCAACTGCTACTTCCCCAGGCGTTTCGTTCGGCCCCTCGACAGATTGGTCAGTTTTTCTCCGGAATGGCTTGAGTCGATTGAAATGTACTGTCATGGGTTGACTGGCAGGGTTGTTGGGATCTTTGATAACACATGTCACATCCGATATCACCCGCTGTATTATGTACGGTCCTGTCCACTCATGGTGTAGCTTAACCGGAACTCCTGCCGTTGGTACCTGGTGCAAGTAAACTTGGTCGCCAGCCTTTAAAGGAGCGCCGAAAACTTTCTTGTCGTAATAGTCTTTCTGTCGTCGATGGGCGTTCCCAAGGTGAATACGTGCTGCTTGATGTGTTTGATGAAGCGAATCAAGGAGTTTGCTAACATACTCTGTCACCGATGAATGTGGCTGTTGCGGACTGGGTAATCGGATGTCAGACGGTAATCGGACTTCTCTCCCGGTCCACATAAAAGATGGTGTTTGACCAGTCGAAGCGTGCACTGTGCTTCGATATGCCAGCAAGCATTTTGGTAACATAGCGTCCCACTCACTTACATTTTGCTCCACAAAGGCCTTCAGTAGCGATTTCAGCGACCGGTTTGTACGCTCAACTTGTCCGTTGCCTTGCGGGTGGTAAGCAGTCGTTCGCGTCTTGTCTATACCGAACACACGACAAAGTTCCTGAACCAGCAAACTCTCGAAACATGAGCCCCTATCAGAATGTAGCTGCCCCGGTGCTCCCCAGTGACACACCCAGTGATTTACCATCGCCGTTGCTACGGTGACTGTATCGGCTTGGGCGATCGGAACTGCTTCGCACCACTTGGTGAAATAGTCGACCATGACCAAGATGTACCGATGGCCACGTGATGTTTCTGGTAGGGGACCAACAAGATCTACTCCCACAATCTCGTTCGGGTAGCCTGCATTCATAGGCTGCAATGGTGCTCTCCTGGTGATGGTCGGATTCTTGAATGTGGCGCATGTCTCACACGTCTGGCAAAAGTTAGTGACGTCTCTCCGTTGGTGTGGCCACCAAAAACGTTGACGTGCTGCCGCTTCCAGTTTGTTGATTCCAGCATGACCCAGCTGTTCGTGCAGTTTAGATAGCACTTCGGAAACTAATGATCGCGGAACTACGATTCTCCTGATATAGTTTGGGCCAAAATCAAACACTAGCACACCTTCCTCGATAGAGAGCTTGTCCCACATCGCCCATAAGCATCGAGCTTCGTAACTTTTTCCCTCCATTTCCTTCGCGGTAGGTTTGTCGCTCCCCAACAGCCGTTTGTCATAGATCGGTGATACGTCTGGATCTGCTGCCTGTGCCTCCTGCCAGCGACCGTACTCCGAACTTTGAAGGTTAACTAGAGCTACGTGTTGTGTACTACAAGACGGGCAGTCTCCATGAGCACGAGTAGGAAGTCTGGAAAGAGCGTCCGCGTTGGCATGCAGTGCACCAGGTCGGTGTCTGCACTCAAAATCATACTCCTGAAGTTGTTCCTGCCATCTGGCGATCTGTCCCTCGGGGTCTCTGAAATTCTGTAACCA